GTGTCCCACAAGAGTGTCCCACAAGAGTGTCCCACAAGAGTGTCCCACAAGAGTGTCCCACAAGAGTGTCCCACAAGAGTGTCCCAAATGAGTGTCCCACAGGAGTGTCCCACAAGAGTGTCCCACAAGAGTGTCCCACAAGAGTTTCCTAGTAGAGTGTCCCACAAGAGTGTCCTACAAGAGTGTCCCACAAGAGTGTCCCACAAGAGTGTTCTACAAGAGTTTCCTACTAGAGTGTCCCACAAGAGTGTCCCGCAAGAGTGTCCCCCAAGAGTGTCCCGTAAGAGTGTCCCACAAGAGTTTCCTACAAGAGTGACCCACAAGAGTGTCCCACAAGAGTGTCCTACAAGAGTGTCATTTGGACATATGTAGCTTTTCGAACGTGTTTGCATTCGGGTTTGTGGGCTCCATCTTTTTTTTTCTCTCTCTTCAAGTGCAACACAAAGCTTCATCCCAGACAAGCTTCATCGGACCACTTGTGCTCAAACTTCCATAAAGACTTGGCTTTCTGTCTCGCTCTTGGGTTGCATTGGGCAGCGGGCTGCCGGCACTGATTCCGTTTCCGAATCCAGTCCGGGACCGTGTTTCTTCGGGACTGAAGATCCTGAGGAATTTGCTGCGGATCTCCTTTGAGTTCATGCCCGTGGAGTAGCCTGGCACTCCTTTTTTTGGGGGGGGGAGGCAGCGGGGGAATTTGCACGGGAGGCAGGCGATGAAAGTCCGTGGCCATGGTACGAAAAGTCAATGGCTTTGTCCCATTTCCACGGTCACGCTGGTCCTGGTTACATTTTAGAGGGTGTTGGCACTCTTCGACTACAGTGAGCGCTACACACACACACACACGACTCCACCAGAACAGTGCTGGCAAAGCATGTGCTGTGTACTTGCACCGTGTTCATGCCGAAAAGTCCCACCCCTTTAGAGTATCGCTTCTTTTTTTGGTTCCCAAGACCTCCATCTACCGGACGGGCATGGCTTTCCATGCCCCGGCTTGCGACTCGGCGGTCAGGATCTATTTTCTGGAAGGCATTGCGGAACTGCTCCTCGACTTCTGGCGCGAGCCTGTGAGGGAGCAGGCAGCACCACTGGAGACGGTGAAGGAAGTGGATGAACAGCTGGAGGATGTGGAGGAGACGATGGGACATGGATGGGGTGAGAACGGTCTCAAACTGGGGTAACAACCAACCAACCCATCAATCAACCAAAGAACGCGTTGTCGCCTGCTTACTTGTCCTTCTTTTGGATGCCAACCGCATGCTGAGTTTGGTTGGGGCGTTGGCTGATGTTAACGGATTCCACAACAAGGAGACATGAACCGACATGAGCCACCCTAAGTTCATGAGCCGCGCATGTTATATGTTGGCAGTGTTGTGTTTGCGCGTACCATCTATATAACTCTTATTAACTATTACCTATATATATATATAATCAATATGCTATTGAACATGCATCATACGTTGTAAGCATGTTTTCTTTATGTCTGGGCAAGTCAAGCCTTTGGAATAAAATCTGTCAATTACCGTTGGAGTGGTCTGCAGGCCACATGATGATTCTTGTGAGGAGTGGTTGGAAAAGAACGCGGAGGAAGTTAAGCAGGTGGCCCAGGCAGCGTACAATCGAATTCCAGACAAGATCGAGTTGGAGACTCTTGGTGTTGAAGCAGTTGGTCTTGCACAGCCAGAATTTTTGTACACTCCTACTAGTACTCCTATATACTTGTATCCTATTTTTGGATATTTTTGGATTAAAGCCCACATAAGTCAGCTCGCGAATGATGTTTCCATCGCCAAATTCCTCGAAAGCACCTCCAAGGATCATGATTGCATCTCCCATCCTGCACGTGCCTGTGTCCTTGGGCACAGCCATCTTCAGCCTCGGTCAGCTACATCTGAAGACCAAAGAGCCTTGCGAATACAAATGTGCCTTGATCGAAGTGGCCTGGGAGCCACCTCTGAAGTTGGACATCCGTAAGATTTCTTGTAAAAGCATTGAAACATCTTGATGAACTTTCACAGGAGAACACATGGCCCTCCTTCTGCGGCCCAGAGGGCCCTGCTCTCTGTGATCCAGGCATCGACTTGGACGTGCGGCTGACCCGCACCACCTTGCGAGCGACCTCACTGCGAAATGAGCAGTTCGACATGATCCAACCAGTGCCCGTGAATGTGTCCATTGAATACAGGCCAGAAGCTTCGGGACTTTCTTGGGATTGGTCGAGAGTCTGATAAAGGGAAGGCACTGGCGAAGCCTGATTCTTTTTTTTGGGGGGGGGTTTGGTGATTGCTGATTGATCTGATCGCACCACAGCTTGCATCACTTTGGTTGAGGGGGTTGGGAAACCTCAAGATCTACAAGACTCCGCAAGCTAGGGCATTGGAAGACAAGAACGTGGTCAGCGTGCACATTGACGCAGAGGCAAGGGAGAATAGGATGGAAGAGGGCTGGACTGCCTGGAGGTCCACAGTATATGACCTCGTGTGTATCCCCCTATGGGTCAAACCTGAAGCCCCAACACCATGTGAGCGACGGACAAAATTATTGGTTGACTTATTTAGTCACGGCATGACCCTAAACCTATGTTGAGGGCTTTGTTTCTGTGCAAAACGATGTGGTCCCCACCAAGAACGATAACCTTGTTAAGATGTAGTGGGTACAAACGTGGTTACAATATGATATTGCATTTACATGTTTATGTGAGCTAAACCGATGGGCACAACTTTTCATCAATGATAACCCCAGACAACTTCCTAAACGATATCAAACGATAATCCAAACGATAAGCCAACGATAACCTAAATGTCACGCCAGGCACTCCGTAAACCTACTTCTCCACATTACTAGTGTTTGTTCATGGGCCGAGCTACTATGTCCCCGCTTGTGATCCTTGCACAGCCCAGTGCCACAAGAACCCAAGTACAGTACGTAAATCAAATGCTGTATTGTTCCTGTGCAGAAAGCACTGTATGCCTCTAATCTGAGGTTGTGAGTGGATTTTGTGTTTTAGTCTATGTGCCGGTATGCTATGCTAACTACGGTTTGGAGAAACATTGGAGAACGATATGGGCCCCACCAAAAACGATAATCATGTCAAATGGTATTTGGCTACACAAGTAATATTGTCCGCTGCTCATGTAGGTCAACGAAGGTATCCTGGTTTTGGCCCACAGCTATGCTTCGCCGGAAATTCGTTTAATCCATGAAGAACTACATGGGAGTGGGCTGAGGGCGGATAGTTGGAAGGTGAAGCGAAAAAGGGGGTCGTTGGAAGCAGCGCTTTGTTCACCATCGTGAGCTGGCATCGGACAAGGAAACACCCGTGTTACCTCGACACCATGAACATGTTTGTACCATGATCAGGTAGCCATGACCATGTTGACGAGCATGTTTTCCCATTGCCTGACAGCTTTCTCCCTGCCCTTGATTGCGCGTCCACATCCCCAGGCTTTGACAGGATCCTGCACAGGCTCATGTCAGTGGGGCTCACTCGTCGAATGGGCCCATGGTCCCTTTGAGGTCACTCGTCGATTGTCACGATGGTCGCTGTCAGGAGGAGATGCGATTGTCGCTGGCACCCCAAGCGTTGCAAATCTTGCAGCTGGCCGCAAAGCTTCAGGTCGAGCAGGATTTCGGGTGTGCGTCATCGCACTGCGACTTAGGTCATGTTGAATGTGGTTCAGCTTTGGGGTTAGTAGACGCCTTTTCAAAGTCCGGACTGAAGCAGTTGGGCCAATCATGAGCTTCAGAACCGTAAGAGGGGGTCAGGGGAATCCCAGTGTTCTTCTTGGTCCGTTTCATTCTTCTGTGCAGTATACGTGTTGTTGTATTGTTGTGTTTGGCGGGTGTTGCCTCCTTCGGGCAAGTGTCACCAACAACGAGCCCTGTGTGTGCAAGACGAGCCCAGTACGTGAGCGCACGTGGGTACTCGACCCGTGGGGGTTATGGGCTCGTTGACCAGATCGACTCCTTGGTGGAAGAACACCAGTGGTGAAGGAAGAATTGAACCACCAGGTGGCCCAACCCCCAAGCTGCCTGCCGCCCTCAGGCTGGCAACGCCTACCGGTCTGATGAACGTCATGCCCCTTGGAAAGAGCTCCAAGGAATGGACGGGGCTCGCACCGGGGGTGCAGACCCTTTGCACCGTCCTGCCTACTCGTTTGGGTCACCGGGTCACTCACCGGGTCACCTGGCTGGACGGTCATCGTTTCCCTCCATCTACTGTTACCCTCCATCTAATTCATGGACGTCCAATGGTCCAAGAGCAAGATCTCCATCATCATGTTGCTATGCTGAGATGGATGTGCTGCATGATGTCCCTGGCTGACGGGCTCCGAGACTTTGGGATCGAGGGTTGTGTAATCATGTGCAAATAGAACGCGTGCTTGGCATTTAGTGCCAAAATGCCAAAAACGTCACGCAACCCGAGACGTCTCAGGACTGTGAAGGAGCCGGAGACCAGCCGCAGCAGCCGGCGCCAAACCTTTGGACGCTGGGCCTCTCAGGCGTCGCCGGCCGCTTCGAGCGACCTTGTGACTTCGGTTTCAGGAGATTGGAGCCGCCACTGTTCGGGACAATGATGGGAAGTGCTTTTTTCACTAACAAGAACGCTACTAGTAGCAAAGGGCATCGCTACTAGTAACAAGGGCATTGCTACTAGGAGCATTCTTAGTTACTAGACTAGGAACAAGAACGCTAGAAACTCCTTCGCGTGATGTGGGATGTGGCACGTGCTTTCATGTCACCGAGTCGGGCAGGTCTTTGCTGCCAAGTCGGATGCGGATGATGAGCTCCTCATGCAACCCAGCAAGTCGGAGGTGTGCAGATCGGAGTGGATTTTGGCTGCGACAAGGGCATCCATGCGAACCGGGCCCCTCGAATCTCATGGATAGGAAACCAAAACATCATGGGATCCTACAGGAGATTCGTTACTGTTGATCAATAAGATCGACCAATATCGACCATATATTTTTGTTACATTCTTCAACCATATGAACATGTTTCACCATCCCAATAGGGGAGCTGGTTGTGCATGTTTTCACGAAGCTACTAGGAACAAAGGGCATCGCTACTAGGAACAAGAAGCTACTAGGGGCTCCTGGCCTTACTACTAGGAGCAAGGACGCTACTAGCTCCCGCAGCTGTTCCCCGACCCGCGACCGCTCGAACTCACAGGTGGCCGAGCGCCGACGCAGCTCACTGGAAGATGTCTTGGGCCGACCACAGGCGGCCACCAGTCTGGTGGAGGATGTCACGCTCCTTGGTGTAGTCATTCCCATCTTGGAAGGTGGATGTAGTCCTGAATGATGATTCAAGGATACTACAGTCATACCATGTCATACCTAGATAGTACACTCAATCCTATACAATTACTAGTCATTAGTCTTTTTATTGTTTTGGATAAATCCATATCAAATAAGATGTCGCAGATCATCTATGACGCGACAACTATAGGACTGGACGCATTCTATTGCATACCTTTGTTTTCCAACATCTCCGCTTAGATTCTGTTAACATATTGGGAACCTGTTGTCTATTAACATTTGGCTGACCCTAGGCATAGAGTGGCAAGCTGTCAAGCAGCTCGCAGTGGCCCTTTTGGAGCCCATTGTAGGGAGAGTTCCCCCAACACCCACACACCCACACACGCACGCACGCATGCACGCACGCACGCAGACACAGACTTTTTCTTGAAGCATGGCTAGCAAGTCTTCCTCCAGGTGACCTTTCTCCCAATTGCTGGTGTCCATTTCCGGGACGGAGGGGTTCGAACCCGCCCGGCGTTTTGGTCGATACGACAACTTGTCGTTCGACCAGTGCGAACGGATCATCCAAGACCCACGAAGCACAGACGGGCCGAGGAAGCAAATGGAGCAGGTCCGATCCAAACAGCTCCCTGGTGAAGTCCAGCGCTGGAAACTGGGAGTGCTGGTTGGGTGAGCAGGCTGTGAGGCGGTGAAACTGGGAGTGCTGCTTTCAACAGGTCGCTTTTCAGCGTATATTTACGTGTGTGTGTATGTGTATATCTTGGTGTCCAAAGAGTCTGTTCTGATCCAAAGGTGTACGCTTTGTATTTTGAGGTATGTATTTTGCACAGTTTTTTCTCAATTGACACAATTCTGTGCGGGGCCCACATGGCTAATGATCGAGTTCGCGGATCCGTTTATGCAGCCTGTCAAGTCTCACCGAGTGGACGGGTTGTTCAAGAAGTGGACAGGTCTGTAAGGTTGGCCAGTGGTCAACACAGCCAGGAGAGCTGTTTTTGAGCGACGGATTGGGTGGTAAGATGATGAGTCATTAAGGGGGGCATCGTGCGATCAAGGCTCGTTGGTTCATGAAAAAGGGAAAGACGAGAGAGGGGGACAGAGATAGGCAGGCAGGCAGGCAGGCAGACAGACAGACAGACAGACAGACAGAGAGACAGGGAGGGGAAGAAAGAGTGAACCAACATCGCAGGAGACTATCCCAAAAAATTGCGCTCAGTGGGGGAAAAGGGGGTTGCTTTGTCGATCGAGGTTTATCTTCAACCTTTCGGTGACTTGGCAAGATGGCTGATTCTTGTGTCTCCTGATGAAGTGTCTATTATATAATTCTTCAAGTATGGTTGCTTTAGTTGCTGACCAATTCTTGGGTTGGTGTTTGATGTCGTTCGTCCACGAATGCGACTGCTTGCCATGTCTTTGAGACGTTAACGACATCAGGTCATGCTGGCCGCTGTGGATATGGTTTTGGCGGACTCCATCGTTCCAGTGCTGCGCTGGAGGGGGGAGTTGACCACCCCGCTGGTAATGTACAAGCAGAAGGACTGTCGCAGCTGGGAGCTGCAAATTCCTTGTCACAGGCACTTAGGATATTCTATGATATTCTGTGTGTTGTGCGAGAGGATGGGGCAAAGTGGGCTCCCAAGCGCGAGTGGCAAGAGATTAAGAAACTGGATGCGCTCCACAGTATACACAGGTCACTGTTGGCGGTTGCGACTCATTGCCATTGGCTCCTCACTTCAGGAGCCAAATATCCTCAATCTACATGTCAAGGATGGCTCCTTAGAAGTGCATCTTGGCACATATAGTACAGCAGTAGTAGATTCAGAAACTGATAACAGTATATAGCTGGCTTTCTGTCTATGGGCTCCTGTCTCCCTCTCTCTTGTGCTCTCTCCCTTCGTTCGTTTCAAGCATCCCTTTAGACCTTCTCCATCCTTCTCCCTTTTTGTATTTTTTTGTATGATTTGTATGACCCCTGGCTTGTGCATGTGCTGTTCCTTTCGGTTTTGATCAAGTGTGCCACTTGGGGTGCACAACACGTCCATCTCGTCGTTCACTCCCTGATCTACTTGAGCCCTACCGAGCCCTGCATTCTTCGCTCCGTCTGAGCATCCCGTCTGAGCGGACACCGGTCGAGCGGACACCGTCCAAAGGCAGTCTTTGAACCCCAACAGTGGCATTTGGGAACCCATTCTGGAGCGCTTCCGCCTGGGCTTGGATGTCGAGCGGAAGGCCATCGGCGAGGACCGTGATACCCATGCCATTTGGGCCGCAGGAAGTTCTGGATCTGAATGGATCTGAGGGACTCGGGATCACACGAGCCATGAGTTCATGAGGCCGGAGGCGAGTTTTTGGGGAGGGTTGAGCAGAATTGACTTGGACTGCAAGGGCAGGATTGCAAGGTTCCCAGTGTCACTGAGGTTTTCATAGGTTTTCTGGTTCCACACCACCTTGGGGGTTTGCTCCAAATCACCGAAACCTTTTTTCCGGGATCACCGGACCATTGTCCTCCCCAGGTGCTCCTGAGCGGGCATGAGCCGGTGCTGTTGAATGTGACGCCCTCGACCGCCCCTCGACGCGGAGAAAAAGGGTGCGAAGACGAAGAAAGACCTGATGCGGTGGATTTTTTGGTACACCGCATTTTCTTCCCCGGGTTTTAAACCACAGAGAAGAAGCATTTCTATGCATTTCTTACAGTTTTTGAACATGTTTAATTGAACATGTTGAACCTACCATCTCAAGCTCTGGGGTTTGTGTGGGTTCAGCGTGTGAGGTGAAGCGTTTGAAGTACATCATGCCACTCTTTATTGAATCCGTGACGTCATCCTCCCTCGTGGGCGACGCAGAGAATGACCACAAGACTGGCGTGAAGTATCGGGTCGTCAACTTGCTGCTCGGTCTGATGCCTTCAGTGCTGCATTTGGCAGCAGCAGGCAGCCAGGAGGGGTTGGTTCGGAGTGAAACCCAATGGGGAAACCCATGGTTATTTAAACGGTTTCCCTTCAAGAATTCACCCTGCCGCTCCAAGGATGGCTTGCCTTCTGCTCTTGGCTACCTACCGGTCACCCAGAAGCCGGTCAAGCGCGCGGTTCGCGGTTCGCCCCGCTTCCCGAGGTTTGGCTCGAGCATCGACCTGCACTTCCGCTCCAGATATACCAAGAACCTGGTGGCCTCCGTGAAACCCAGTGGCTCAGAGTGGAAGTCTCTGGATGAAGCTTGGAGTGACGGACTGAGGAACCCAGGTTCCTGCGCAAGGCTTAAGGCCTTGCAACACCAGGGAGGCCTTGCAGAAGAGAAGCCAAAGGCCCCAAGATGCCCCACAAATTCCAATGTTCATATAGCACTTCGACTGCCACCCATGCGTTGAGACGAACCCAATGGGCTGTACTTGCGCGAATTTCTTAGGCCAGGCTGAGGAAGGTGATTTATCCTTACAACTTCCAACGTTCGCCAAGAAGGGGAAGTAACGGCCTAGCGATCCAGGCTGTATGTAGGTGATTAGTATAGCATCATCATGTGATATGCGTTCTCCTTTGGGTGGGCCAAATCAAAGGCTTTGCCTTTGGGCGCTGACTATCACTAGGCAGACCAGCTGGTTGTTCAGCCATATTTTACTGGTGCCCAAGTGCAAAGCAATGACAATCTCAGAAATTCTCAGAATACCCGCTTCTAGGAGTTGCAAATTGGTGCCTGTTATGGAGAAGGCTTTGCAGCTCTGCAAGTCAGGAGTGTATCCTACCACACTTTGCCACCGCGATCACTGCGCAGGCTGGACATTTTACTTCAGGTAGTGTTCAACTTTAAGACATTGTAAGACGGTTTCTTTTCGTTGCAGGGCTACTATATTCTTCTTTGACCAACATGGTGGCTCAAAACTCAAGCAGGGTCCAGCGACAATTTTGCAGGTGACCCTTCAAAAAGATAGCAACTAGACACCAACACAAAACCAAGGCCACATCGACATTCGCTGGTCGTTGCCGCCTGTTGTACCTTGAGAAAATCGGACAAATAAGAGCTGCTCCATGTTGAGAACTGGGCCAGTGGTTCAGTGGTTAGGAGTGAACTACTGTTCATATTTCAGTTCCAAACCACTGATCCAGCCCTTCTCCGCACCCTCTTTGGCAGCCTCTTCAACGCGGCAACGTGTCGATCGGTTTCCCTCACCAGGTCCATGGTGAGTCCACCAGCTCCGAGTGGCTCTCCTTGGAACGCACCGGCGCAGTGATGCTCCGGCCGGGCGCAGCGCGAGGTCGGCTTTGCAAGGAACTGGGAGGCTGTGTGGCCGCAGCTCGGAAGCGACGTATGCATTTGACCTCACGTGAGCACGTGAGCAAGCACTGGGCCAATCAAATCAGCCCATGGCTGGTTGGTTGGATATTTGGGACACCTGTCCTCGATTTGGGCGACTGTGGAAGCGAATGGCACTGAGGAACTGCTCTCGCCGTCGCCATCCCACAAGCTGCTGTTTCTGGCTGCACCGCTGCGAGTGCACAACCAGACAGATCTCACGCTGGTGATCAGGTGCCTGTCCGTGTGTCGGACGGATTGATAGTTTTTACTTATGTTTGCCCTGTTTATTGCAACAGCCGGTGCACGGCAAACTTTCAAGTAAGAGTATTGGATGTATTGGTCCTGGTTGATTATCGACATTCATTGTCAGGAGCAATACTAATACTTATTTTTTGGGGGGTTGATAATAGTTCTTCTGGTCGTCACACATTCCAACCCTATCATGATTATAGATAATATATATATATATACATAAAGCACTATTAATAAGTTACAGAGAGAGAGAGAGAGATATATATACATCAAACGAAGCTTCGCCCGCCGCACCGGCCGCGCATGGGCGCAGGTTCCATGACTCCAAGCGTCAGGTGCTGCAATTGGATTTGATCCTTGGCCCAGCGCCATCGTGCGGCCCACGCCCCGTGTTCGTTCGTTCGATGTGGCGGTTGGACAGACGTGGAACGACAAGAGCTGCGCCTGGAGGACCAAGTGCTAGATTCCTTTCGATCAGATATTTCTGCACATTCTGCTTGTGTCTACCATCTATTTTGGGCAACCTGCCACTCCCCAGCCTCCCGTATCGACCCGTTCAAACGACATCGACCGAGGAAGTCCAGCGGATGCTGCGAAGCGTCGCTGCTGGGAACTCTGGGGTCGACCTACGAAGCGAGAAGCAACTACACCGACCAAGGCGGGGATGGCGAAATGGGGTGAAAGTCTTGAGATGCAGATGGTAATATGTAACAAACAAGTAATTATGAATATACATGCATATATTATATTTTTGGTTTTCTAACAGGAGTTTTCATTTCATAGAGAGAGAGAGAGAGTTTTTTTTCTCTTTTTTTTTTTCTCTCTCTCTCTCTCTGTCTGTCTCTGTCTGTCTCTAATGGGTTGATTGTGAGTGTGCGCGTTGGGCACTGACTGCTTTTCACACATTTTGAGATGGCAAGTGCGAAAGGAGAAAGGCTGGTAAAGAACGCGTGGTGTTTGCAGAGAGCAGTCCGTGTAACATGGACCAGCCGTCACTCAAAACCGCAAAAGCACTCCCTGAGTAGATTTCCTTGGCTGAACGTGTAGGTCAGTCGAATATGACGTCCTTGGTAGCGTGGATCTATTTGTGAACATATGTCTAGGTCGCAGCATTGACCATTTTTGCTTTGAACAGCTTCAGCTGCTTCCTCAATCTAAGCATCAATGGATCAGGGAGAGGGTTGGAGAGAAGGGGCCGCGGGCGACGGGCGAGGGGCGACTTGCTGCACATCCCGTGGTTTGAGGGATTCGAGCGGCTTGCATTTTTCAACCCCAAGGTGCTTTGTTTTCAGACAATGTCCATTGTCACGCGACTTCAGCATACTTCAGCTGTACAGGTGTCAGCTCCGAAACATGTGGTCCCGGAGAGCTGCTTTTGGAGCCTGACTGCGTGTGCAGCTGGGCAGGTGAAGATGTGGCATCGAGCCAGGAAAAGAAATCGGACACCCAAAAAGAGTCATTGTCATGAAGGAAGGAACAGCATCTCTTTGTCAAAAGATCCTAAAAGCCAATCTATGACATCATTTCATGCCTTGCAAGGAAATCATGTCCTTTCTCGAGAATTGTGCCTTTATGGGTTCAGGAAAAACGTTACTTTACTTGGTCTTTTGATAGGTCAAAGATCATCCAAGAATTTGGCTCACCCAGCTACCTGCAGTCAGCTGGCCAGCTGGCTGTTGGAAGGCTCCTGCATGTCTCTTTTTAGTCCACGGCTTGTTTGTCACAAGCTGTCAACAGGTGCATTTTGACACACACACACACACTTTATTGCAGACATAGCTGAGAGGCTGTCAACAGGTACATTGTCACACACACACACACTTTGTGGCTGACATAGCTGAGAGGACTTTCGGAAATGGCAACGGGTGCATTTTGATGCACATGCACACACACATACACACCTTGTGGCTGACATTGTTGAGAGGGCTGAGGAGAGTAAAGTGTTGGCTGCAGTAAGGAACTGTTGGCCGCTGAGAGCAGTAAGATAAGTCAGGGCGACACCCCCCCCGCCAAGGCAGTGTGCCAAGCGCAGCCTTAGTGCAGAGCAGAGAGGCCCTCGCCCGGTGAGACCCGAGGGCTGTTTGGCGGCGCTCGCGGCTTAAGGTCAACGGGGCACAAGGTATACGTAGCCGCTGCTTGGGTTCCAAAAACTGTAAGTGCGAGGCACTAAATTCGAAACTACAGCCTAATTCAGAAAATGGCGGTTGGCGGGATCCATGATTCCATGATATATTGACATTTAGCATGCAATTCACGCAAATCCGAGATGGTGCAGGTATATATATATATATAGACACATTTAGGCACCTTTGAAGATCTTTGAAGTGCAATTCATATGCAGATGGTGCTGAACATAGACATCGACACGTCACATCTCATGAGTCACCTAGTGGACTCCTACGGCGATCTCTATGGTGGACCACTGATCTCGTGGACCATGATTTCTTCCATACTGAAACGCCGCCCCATCGATGAAGCTCCCCATACTGAGACGCGCGCAGGGGCAGCTCATCAAGTCCAAGACCTTCATCAGCATCCGGTGCCGCATCGAGTCGGACCGTTTCGGGGACCGTTTCGGTGCGGGTTGCTGCATGGGTTCACCGTTCGACCCAGACGAAGCGCAGCCGGGTTTGGTAATTGTTTGGAGCCGGATTCAGAGGGCACCTGAAACCGACTTCTGGAAAACCACGTGGCGTGGCGATGTGCTGAGAGCCGGCCCCTCTCTCGGACCTCGGATTCTCGGCGGCCCCGTGCTGCACTGCTGCACGGCCCATCCGCGCAGGCCAGCAGGGATCAATGTTCATTTTTGCCCTCCAGTGGAAGCAGGTGCCAACACACCCACTTGTGCCCTGGCTGAGCTGGAACAGAAGGAAGGACCTCACAAGGTTTCACTTCAATGTTGGGGGTTTGTTCTTCCCATGGGGACAGTTGCGCAATTGGAAGGTCGTGAGTCGTCCGCATCCGAGATGTTTCAAAAGAGACACCCATGCCCGCTACAAGCTCACCATAGTTACTGTATATCATATATACTGTAATATGTATTACTATGTTATATCCAAACACCTTCCGGTTTGCACCAGCATGACGACGGTGCCACCAGCTGAAAAGGCCCAGTCCTCAGTCCTTAGTCCAACACTTTGTTCAGGCCCAGTCTTTTGCCGTGGCCCCGAGTGCCGCGACGCACCACGGCGGGCGCATATTGCCAGCACCAGCGGCGCTCATTTCCTTTGCCAGTCCACCTCCACGACGTCTCCTGGTGTCGCAAGTTGTGCGTTGTGCTGCAGGCTGACTTAGAGTGTTTTTGACTTCAAGAGTCTTCAAGACTTGAGCCGTGCCAGCCATGCTTTTTGCACTCACTCACTGTGCTCGATGCAAGGCATGCGCTCCCATCTCCAACGGCGGTGACGACCATTGCGATTCAGCCCACCTTAGCGATCTTGAATGCGATTCCTTTAGGAGCAAATTGAGATGGGAAGAATGCGTCCAAGAATGTCCAAGACACGTTATCGGAAACCGTGTGGACGTCTGAAAGATGCAACATCATGCAGCGTATTCAATGTACTGTCGATTTGGATGATGATTAGTGGGGCATGTTCAATCTTTTGTATGAGGTTTGAAATTTATTTGCTGAGTATCTTTGATTCAGCCAGAAGTTCTTTAATTAAGATTCAACTGCTTTGCAAAATGTTTTGCACACATTTTCCTGACCCCATGCAGATGTCGTGCGCCAAGTATGACCAAGTACTGTATGATGCTACGGTGGTTTGTCCTTTTTCTTTGACTTGGGACCGTCCTACAGCTACGCTTTTTGGGGCACCGATCATGCACCGGAAGACCCGGGTCTTCGGGTCTTCGGGTCTTCGGAACAGGCGAGCTGGGTGTGCGCTACACGACCCTGCCCGAGGGAAACAAGTTCATGGAGGCACGGTTCCGCGGATGCCTTTCTTCGCAGCTTTCTTGCCTTTCTTCTCACCCTCGAAGAGGGACAGACGCACACGAAGATGTGTACTCGAAGGCTACAAAGCGAGAGTATCCGTGCCATTGGATTTCAGTTTACGCCTCCTTTGACCAGTGGTCTTTGTGAGCCCCTATTTCAATACAAACCCTGCATGTCTTCTTAACCTGCATGGGAGTATTCCTCCAAAATTGACTTGACGGATAACCAAGCAGTTGCGAGGCCACCGAAGCGTCAGTGCCCAGCTTCACGAGATGGAACTACTACAGTTTCCCTGGGGTGCAGAATGGTCTTGCAGTCCTCGCGAGGCAATTCTTCTCCTTCTTGGGGATGGGATGGGGTGGTGGTGGGCTATAATTAGAGAGAGTTGAAAGCTACAAAAGTGGAGTCAGGAGCTGCAGCCGAGCATGGGAAAGATGGTGTTTCTATATAACGGTCAAAACATGTGAAGACGTTTTTTAATAAAGAGGGGCAGGCCTGCAAAGCGATAAGGTTCACCTCAAAACCGATAACCCCAGCGCTGTATATGATCAAAAAATATCAAAAGTTTGTGGCGAACTCAAAACATTGTAAAACGATAAGATCCAATTCAAAACCGACGACGTCCATTTTTTGGTTGAAGAAGAATAAAGGAGCTTTGACCGTCCCTCATATGTAAGTAATAGCTATTATACTATACATATACATTATATACAATTGTTATATACACATGTGTATATATATATATATACATACATTATTTTTGGTTTTAATGCTTCTGGTTTCAGGAACAGTTGGACTCAACGTTCTTCGTGCTGAGATGTTTGCGGGACTTGATGGGACAGATGAGCCCGCCTGTAAAGGTAGTTGTGTGAAGTAGGCTTGGATTGAAGGCTCGATGCCAGCGCACCTTGGTCCCAGCCGCTCAAGATCAAGCAGGATGCTTTCAAGGAGGCTCCGGGAGAGACCAGACTTGATATCGCTAGAGGCTTCTAGCGAGCATTACAACTGTACCGTAACCTTGATGAACTGCGCGAAATGGGTGGATTCAGGGCACACAGCCCATGATCATCACTTGCAAGTATTTCCAGAAGCGGGCCACCGGATGTGGATGCCCGAACTTTGTAGAAGTGGAGCCATGCCACCCATTCAGAAAAAGTCCCTCCGCTTCGCTCTCCCAACACTCCTCCAAACTCTGCTCTCCGAATTTCACGTTTCGTCTCCCTCCGAAAAGACACCTGGACGCAGAACCCGCTCCCCCCACGATTGGTCAGGAAGCTTCAGAGATGCAGATTTTGCAGCTGAGACAGTTCGACAAGGGTGCCCCCTGTGGGGTCATGGTCGAGCCCGTGAGTGGGGGGACCTGGGGTGACCGAGACGTTTTGGCCCTGTGGGGTCTCCGGAGGTGTGCTGTAGAAGAAAGGTCCATTTTCAGAAAGGTCGGTTGATGCATGTTTTTACGGCATAATGGTTGCGAAACCTTCAAGGGAGTGCTTCTCATTGAGAACATGAAGGATCCAGTATTGAGAGAGAAAGCCTTTTGGGATCCTTGAAGATCTTTGAGCCAAAACTCATGACAATTCGGTGACTAAGAAGAGTCTCATGACCTTTTGGACAGCGGCTCCAACGGTGTCCCTGGGGACCTCACCTTGCTGTTCTCAGGTCACTATGAGTTGCGCTTTGCTTGTCCCAACTGGTGGCCCGGAGCAGGGAATCTTCGGGCGTGGACGGTTGAGGTTTGAGGTCTTCGTCCAAGGTCTATGATTTTCAGCCCAGGACATGCTGCGAGGGCATGCGGCAGGACCCATGCTTTAAACTTGAGTGGAAAAACATGAAAGGTCACCAGCTTGGTAGGCCGACCAGCTGGGAAATTCCGGCCATACCCGGGGAGTTTGGTTGGATGTCGATGGATTTCTGGACCCACCAATGGCTCACTCCTAAGTGAACCCTGTTTCTGTGGGGGGAGTTGTATTGAGGTTCGCCACAGGAGAGGTTCAACACAGGTTCAGCATGGTTCAAGCGTACTCATGGATCTTTCTCATATTCATGGTGCAGACCGCAGCACAAAACGCACAGACCTGAGGCTGGTGGATCGTGCAGGCCTCGCGAGCGAGCAGAAGCTGGAGATTCAATACCGAGGCACGGACCCGGTTCGCTCGAGAGACGTTCCCTGGAACTAACATGGAAGTGGAAAGTGGATGAACATGGGCCCATAAGGAAGACCATTGTCCTTTGCAAACAGGTGGGTTTCACCCACTTCCATGTGAGGTCTCAGGGAGGTGTGGCAACTTTGGAGAGGAAGAGATTCATGTTCCATTTATATAATGCATGACTAATACTGTATATTAACCCATATTAACCGCATTTATCGCGTCCTGATTCAACCTTGAGAGCATCTTCTCGTTGGCTTACGTCGGGAACAAGCAAGCAAGTCGTGAGCTGCTGGGTCATGTAGTTCGAAAGGTCCAAGCGACAGGCGATATCGACCAACCAAGCCAAGTCAAGATGGTAGATGTAGCCACACATGTGTAAGCTGGTGCAAAACCCAGACCTTAGCTGCTTTCGCGTTTGGAATTCACCCTTGACCCCACTGCAGCAAACTCCTGCATGATGGGCCGAGGCCGGCCTTTGCCCTGCCTCAATGGGCTGACGCTTCTGCCAGCGGAATGCTTGGAGGAATCCTGCACCTTTGTGCTCTCTGCGGCATGGAAGAAGAGCGTTCTCGAGGCGATCTTCGACGTAATTTCTTTATTTTTTTTGAAGATTGTAACAACTGGCAAGAAGCAGAGCACGAAACTGTGTTGTACAGTGCAGTTGTACTGTATCAGGTGTATTGAATTACCAACGGAATTAGTTCAGTCCCGTTCTTGGAATTGCAGACTTTGCCAGTCGTTGGACTGGATGGAGCTGTGGTGGAGCTGTTAAACGTATTGAGTATTGATAGACAATGGGTCAATACGTGACCATAGAAATCCAACGCAGAACAACAGCGTCGTGTTGTATGATTGCTGCCAGCCTTGCTGCATTGCCAAAGCCCCGTGTTTGGGCCTTTGTATCCTGCTGACTCGGAGACGGAAGAAACATAGGCAGGAGCCTGAGGACTAAAACATCAGCAAATATGGGGCCAACACTTGGAGACCTGGTTCAGCATGTAGTGAGTTTGACCGAACCCAGGTAGGTCATGCCCAGGTATCCTCTCCTGCCAGCTCACCCCACAGCCATATCACATCACCATATGACATCCCCATCCAGCTTCTCTCACCGTTCGCGCGGATCCAGAGGTGCGCATGCCACCGAACTTCAGCGTTTTACCCTGGCCAACTCACGTGGGCGACTTGGCACCCTGGCGGCGAAGGACATGAATGGAAGGATCTCTTCATTCACTTCATCCGATGATTTTCTAAATCCAGAAATCCATCGAAATCCAAGCATGTGGAACGTTTTTTTTGTTGCAGGTCAGACTGTCAGGTCGGTGCATGTCGCCAAGGTGTATTGCATCCAAACCGAAGACCTGCATGCGGAAGATATGCATGGAGCATTCTGCCAGGCATGATCAGTGAGCAAAGCGCATGGCGTGCGCGTATACACACATATGCGACGCATTCCTTTGTGGGCGGCCAAAACTAACCTGTGAATCCCTTCAAAACAGTTGGTGAAACGTGCCCTGGCAGCATATGGAGACATGTGTGCAGGGTTTTCCTGTCCTCATGTCCTCAGCAGCAGCCCAGATCCTGTTGCTTCTCATCTTTGGGATCTTTGGGGGCCCAATTTGGCGATCGCCGTACCGGCCGCGTTGGAACTCGTTGGTCTTCGACCGTTCTCCGCTGCGCCGCGGGCGGGTGCGATGTCGGGTTACTCGCTGCGAGGCCATGGTCTTTCGCCCTCGCTTGGTCTTTACAAACACCTCCGATGCGACGCTTCAATTGGAGCTGGCACCTGGACGCGTCCAGTCGTTAGAAGCACACAAGTGGCTCAGCTGAGATGGTCCTGGTCGGGTGGGTTTACAGAGACCCCTTCTAGCCTTCTGGCTTTCGTAACTCACGTGCGGTAGTAGGGGTGCTTTAAACTGGTTGAAGTGGTCGACAGCACTTTAGCTTTTCTCTTGTTTTCTTCGGTCAGCCCTAGCTCAGATGAAGCTGGCCGAAGCACTCAGGTCCATGGTGCACCACTGGCCAGCTGCAGCTGGAGCCTCTTGACTGGGTTGCATCATTTGTTGCATCCACTTCAGGTTCATCGTGCTTGGTCATGTACACAGTTTATATATACGACAAAAAAAGTGGGAGAGAGAATTCTGACAGCTTCTCCGATCTGTGTCCCTTTCCCACCGTTTGTGTCTTCCAAAAGCCTACGGATGTTGGTGATTTGACACTATTTTACAGCCAGGTGCAGGGTCCCGGTGCAGGGTCTTCTGTCTTTGCGGTCTTTGCATCAATCTCAGGCGAGTGCAACGGTCATTGCGCCGAGGTTAGGAATTTCACCAGCAACACGCATGACTGGTGCAAGAGGTGGACCCAATAGTGTCCAATAGTGCATTTACCTACAGTATGTTTCTGGAGTCCTACGCCCAAGTCAGTGGCCCTTAGGGATTGGTCACAGGCCTTCAGTCAGTCCCACAACTGGTGCCAGGACCCAGTCTTCAGTGCACCCCGCCCGTTGCTGCGCTCAGGATGAAGCGCCCGACTTCCAGTTGCGCTTCCGGCCGGAGTCGTCACTTGGGAACGAATTTTCTTGGAATTGCATCGACTTTCATGATGTTTGACAGGGGCTGTGGCATGGCACATGGCTCCTAAGTCAGCACTTTCCACACATTTCCACACCAAGATCCAGAATAACTTGCCTGCGTGGTCCCTTTCCTTTGTTGCACCTTGGGGTGTTCATTCAGTGCTTGTTTGCAGCTGTGGGTCTCTGCAAGCATGCCCAGTTACGAAATCTGTGGGGACTTCGGGCGATCAGGCCCTGTGTTGCCAAGGACCAATGAGTGCGGTTGGTCAGGGAAGGTGATTTGCGGTGATGAGACAGCAGGCTGCACTTCCTTTGCGTTGGCCACAGGCGGGCCAACGCGGGATAACGCGGGGGCCGCTCCGGAGGGGCCTTTTTGAGGGCCTCTCCGACGATCCGGGCCAGTGCCGTCCCTCTCTGGCATGACGTTGTTCATCGTTGTTGTTTAAACAACAGTCTATTTGGGACCCGAGCACGTTTTGTTGAGCACGTTTTGTTGGACAGTCACTGCTGTTGCATTTGGCGGCCAAGTTTGGGCAACCACCGTCCTGTGAAGCTGCGCAGGCATCGTGGCAGTGCCCAAAAACAAGGGGAAGATGCTGCTGGGCCAGACAAAGCTAAATAGTTATACAAGCAGTTCCCGGGCAAGCCGGCGGCGGCAGTTTCCTACAAAACAGAATTTGACCTATAGGAGTGTCCCTGCGCACATGCCCTGCGGACCCCCTTTTGTTCCGGCACGCAACGATGGTGTCATGCAAGCAGCCCACAACGGCGTACTCGCTCTGGCACTGTGCATGTAGTGGCACTGGCACGAATTCCTCTGGCATCTGCACTTCAAGAAACAAGTGAAAACTCTAATCACAATGGAGAGACGATTCGAGCATGATCCGACCATGATCCATTCCGCAACCGTCGTTCCGCAGAGCTAGCCTTGCCAGGTTCGGAACCACCATTTGTATTGAACAACGCAGCATTTCGTGCGTCCACTATCTCTCGAACACGCATTTTGTACGAGACATCCTTCCAAAGTGCATGTTGAAGAGCTGATGACTGGAGTTAGAGCTAACTAAAGCTAGAGCTGACTGGAGGAGGAGTAGTAGTAGTAGTAGGTGGTGGTGGTGGTGGTGGTGGTGGTGTTGTATGTTGTATGTCGTAGTAATAGTTTTTGAAAGTCCGTGGCTTTGCGCACTAAACTTCCTTTGACAATGATTATTACACTACATATATATATATATATATAATGCCTAGATCTTCCAACTATGCCAAAATTCAGCAATTTGGCTGGCAGACATTTTGCGCGGTCCAAGTGTTTGCATACCAGTCTATATTCTATATCACAGATTTACTGTATGTCACAGTGATGCAACTTTTTAAATAAAGGCTTGCGAGTACCTCACAGACATGTTTCACAAACATGTTTAACACGTTGATTTGCCCAAAGCTGGCATTGTTTTCTTTCTTCGGATTCAGTGACATCGGAATCCGACCGACCCGTGGTCTTTGAAACCCATTCAGCCCGAGGGAATCCGAGCTCTGGAGCGTGGCCATCTCTCCCGCGCGGGGCGCGATGGCGGTGACCTTCGAGCGGGGCTCCGACGCCCGGAGGGGGAAGTCCTCGGTGCGTCGTCCGGGCGGAGTTGAAGGGGAACAATTCCCCTTTGCACCAGCAAGGGTGAAGAGGAGTAGAATAGCAGGGTAATAGTGGTAGTAGTGGTAGTAGTAGTTGAGGATGATTGTTTAGCAGCAAGGGTGGTCTCCCTTCTTCGAACCCTGGTGACTCAACATCGAAGACACGGCTCACCTTTTGCGTCACGTTGCTCCCACTTATAACTTATACATCCTTCCAAGGTGTGAAAACCAACATTGAGCAATTGAATTTGGTGCTTCTATGATCCAGGTACGGCTTTCAATCTTCCAATCGGTTCTTCCTGCCTCACTGTCAACACTCCTTCCTTCTCCTCTCCTGGTTCTGGCACGGTCCCACCCGGGCGTTCGATCGGACGACTCCGCCTCTTCGCGAGCTGGCTCCGAAGAGCTGGCAAAAGCTCCGAGGAGTTCATCGCGGCGAATCGCTCCGAGCGCATGCATCGCATGGAGATTCGCACCTTTGCACTGGAGGAGCGGAGCAAGGGAGGGCCGGGCGGAGCATCGGTGGAGCATCGATGGAAACTGCCATCCCGGGAGGGCGTGCCATTGATGCTCTGCTGCAGATGTTGAGCGAATGATGAGTATAGTAACTTATAAACTTATAGCTGTATAGTTAGTATAGTTTTTGGATGCTTTTGGTTTATGTGAACTTCCTAAATGTACTGGTATCTCAAGTACAAGTATAATATGCAATTGTGGCACTCTTCTCAGCAGAATTGAATAGAATTGAGATCTATACCAGTACCGTTACCATCCGTTTCAGAAGCCAGCCAGCTTTTGCCGTTCGGCAGATGGCAGGAGCAGATTTCCAGCTTCACGGTCTACAAAGGACCCGGGGGTCCGTGGAAGGAGGTTCACGCGCAGCGCCGCATGAAGCGGAAGTCGGAGCGCGGCATGGCCAGGGCGGAGTTTGATCATATAGAGGTCATATGGAGTATAGGGAGCCAGGAGGAGCCAGGGCGATTCACCCTTGTGAGGCAGATAAGTGAGCCGTGGGCTGCCAGGTGTTCACCGTAAGGCTTGGGGCAACGAAGTTGTCAAGCAGCAACATGATGTTTTTCTCGAGTGCCCAGCGAAGACGCTTAACCAACCAAGGCTACATGGACGGTATTCGAGAAGTGTACCAACAAGTGTTCTGCATTTAGTGCACGCTTTGCACTTTCATTTGACCTCGTATTTGGTCTGGGACTTTGAGGAGAGGAGGTGCGCTTTGGCTGGTCCAGCCCCCACGAGAACCGGTGCAATGAGAAGGCCAGAAGAAACCGTCGTGTTCTTTAATGAGGCTGAGTTGGACGTGCGAGTGACACCGCATGACACCCCGTGTTCTTCGAGTTTTGATGGCTTGCAATTGGAATGGCAGACAGGCCAAGACATGTCATGCTTTGCGAAAAAAAGCTGTAAAGCAGGGGGCGAATCAAGCTTGCCTTCGAGATTGCTCCACCTCTGGCAGGAAGAGGATCACAGTCATTGCATCTATGTGACCTTGTACGTGGATGGCTGCCCTCCGAAGCAGATCAAGGTGTGGTGTGTTTGGTACTGTGTACGGGGTTCATTGACGGATATATAGATTTATATATATATATTATACAGTATATATAGCACACACACAGGTACGCACACAGACCCCCGCCTGATTTGTTTTGGCACACTCCCTGGTGCCCGGGCTCCGCGGTGCTCCCCGGTGCCGATGTTTGTCGCGTGGCCGGGGGCTCCGAGTTGCGAGGGGGCGCCTCTCTGAGGTTTCTTACTGGTAGCTGGGTAACCGAAAGGACACAGTTTATGTTTCTCTCCTTTTGGGGGAGTGAACTTGCACCACACATCACCACACTATAAATACTATATCTAGATTGAATTTTTGGATGCCCCAGTAGCAAATAGTAGCAAAGGATACCGAAACAACATATGACAGAACCATACCATGTGGTCCACATGTTTCCGTGCTTTTTCCGTTTCCCAAAAGCATTGTCAAACAGCCGGTGCAGAAGCACTGCCTCCGCCAGGTGCCGGACCTCCGCCGGAGCGACCACGTTTATGAGCCTGAACTCCGGCTACAGCTGCACTGGGGCGAGGGGAGGGCGGGTGGGAGCCTGGGGTGAGGTTGGACCAAAAGAGGGTGGAAGGCCTTTGTAATTATGGAGTTTGGAGGTGTAAGTCTAAGTTCAATCTTTGGAAGATGGATGAAGAGGGTGACTTAGCGCTTTTTTCAGTTGGATCCATTCCAGTTGCAGACATCCAATCGATTCCAATCGCCAGGGAGCACAGCACAGGGTGCCTTGCTCAGCGTTGAGGACAAGGCTGGGCCCTTCAGATGAGCTTGAATGATGAATCTACTGTAGATGAATTTGGCTCGCAAAGTCCCCACGGGGTGCAATATGAGATACCATATACTATTATAAAGTAAACACACACATTATACTATATATGTATGCATTTTGTAATAAAAACATATTGTAGAGTTTTGATTAATAAAACCCCCGTTTGCATGGAAAAACCTGGTTTTACTCATCAAGAGCCTACTGCTGTACATTACCCATCAAAAGCTGGTTGGGTCAAGGTCAACACCCCAAACTCCTGAAATGAACGTGACATCAAATATATTGCTTAGAATCTGCGACCGGCTAGTCGTTGTTTTGGATTGACCCCATTCCTTGTCACCTTCCATTTGAAGCAGTGCCCGGAAGGAGGAGCGGCGGAGCAGTTCCAATCGGCCCAACTCCACCCATTTGGAGGCCATTTCGATCGGAAGGCCTAGGAGCAAGAACGCTAAGAACGGGGCTCCTGGCCTTACTACTAGGAACAAGGAGCAAAGGGTAGGAGCAAGGACGCTACTACCCTCTCAAGAGCCAACGAAGTTGCATTGTTGGCCTCCAGTAGAGCAGAATCATTGGCCCAACCACCTGATTTTGGCACTTTCTGGGTTTGACCGGAGGGTTGCTAAGATGCTTCAACATGCTTTAACTACCGGCTTGGTGAACGTAAAGGTGCAGCCCGAGAGATCAAGCTTCGCAGATTCGAATCGCATGTTCGAGCATGTTCGCAGATTCCAGTGGTGCTTCTTGCGCCGGAGACGTTTTTTCTTCATTTGCAGGTGAAGATTAGCAAAGCAGGGATCTCCATCATCGAAGAGATCCCACCCCCAGGAGCCGCTGCTGAGAAGCTGATAATTAGAAGATATTAGAAGCTGTTTCTTGGGAGGGGCTTTCTGAGCGGCTGGGGCCCGGAATTAGAAAGAACACATCACCAGGACAGGCTTAGTTTAGAATGAGCGAAGCTGTGTGTGACCGCCACAGGGATATAGTCGGATTACAGTCGGAGAGTTGCAGGATGTTGCAGGTCACCCGGCCAAGTGCGTTGCCTTACTTCATGAAGCTGCACCATGTGCTTCCAATGCCACCTCATTTGGCCTCCTGCGTTTGGAGCCCACCCCTATGCCCCCCAAAAGGTTGGCACTCCAGGTTGAATGCAGCTGAGGGAGTCATCTCGCTGTGTTTTCCTTAAACGTGTGGGGAATTGGGAACGTGAGGCGAGAAGAGACCCCGAGAGCTGCTCTTTTGCAATCTGGAGTTGGTGCGATTAGATTGGAAGAAGGACTATCAGGAGAGGCTAACCGAAAGTGATTTTCAAGCACAGTGTTCTTGTAGACATTGATTGATTGGAACCACCATTGATGCTGGACAAGCTACTTTCAGAGCCAAGGGGCTAGCTGGCAGCCCATTTGTGGAACCATGTGGAACCCTTGCAGGGAGGCATGTTTGATCCTTTAAGCAGTTGGGTTATGGCCCATCCCGAGAACTCCAGCTGCAGGATCAGCAACTGAAATTGGCCATTTCCGGTGCTCAGGCATTGGCTATAGAGATTTGGATGTGAAGTGATGCGAAGCATCGCACAGTCAATGCGGCTATGGGAACTGAACTGCCCAACGCTTGGCACGGAGAGACGTTTCTGGCCACATCACCCACATCGGCCGTTCCAAAAGGTTGGTTTTGAGACCCAAGCAGTGAGTGGAGAGAGGGCATTCTACTTCGGAAGGCATACCTTGACGCTGGAACTCTTTCGGGAAACATTGAGAAATCCGGCAATCCTGGGAAATACCATGAACTAACACCCCGGAAATCCTTTGGAAACACCTTCTCAACCTGTCTCTCCTACCAAGCGGTGCATCTTCTTGCGCCAAGCGCGCACTGTTGCACACCACGCAGCGCCGCCGCAGGTGGACTGCCAGCTGCCCGGTCGCACGGACGCGCGCAGCGTGCGGAAGAGCGATGCGACCTTGGGAGGCCCTGGGCAGGCGCAGTCGGGGCGACGGAGGCGGCGGGGTGGCGATGGTTGTCTTGAGTTGGGACCAACAGGTGTTTTGGAGCACGGTTCGAGGATGGGTGAAGCTGTGGAGGCTGAATGTGCAACTGAAGGGGGCGATGTTCGGCTTGTGAAAGACCGCCGTCCGGCCGGGTTCCTTCGGAAGCCTCGGGCAGGAGCTGCCGGCAGTGATCTTGGCGAATCGCGGTTTGGGCGACCGAGCCTTCTTGTCTTTGCAGATCAAGCGCTGTGTCTCCTCCTCTGGGGACTACCTGCTCCCCTTTGTGCCACTGGGCAGCCAGACGGACCCGGACGGACTGGACGTAGAATCGTGATGAAACAAAACACATGAGCTTTTAGAATCCCAAGAGTCGTCCTTGCGGTAAACACTGAGGAAAACAGATGGGTTCTATTAATCAAGATTCTACATTAAATTAGGTGGTAGGTCGTTGTTTGACCCTTTCTGAGACGAAGGTGTCATGAGATCGGGCTTCGCGTGGAGATCGGCCGGTCAACTTCAGCCGGGTACCATGTTTGCCCGACAGGATTGCAAGGGTATTTGTTGGCAAGGATAGTTTTCCTTTGATATCTTTCTAACATAGGCAGTTTGATGCGGTTGGCGCGTTTCTGGGAGTGAGCAATCTGAGCGGCCAAGACTGACATGGATCTCACGATACATGATGACCACACGCCGAGAGAGCCCTTGATCAGGAACATTGCCATGGACGCAGTGGATCTTACCCTTGATGATGGCTGGCTCGATCCCTTGCAGGCCTCCCTGAGTTCATTTTGTAAAGGAAATTACTTCCATGATCTTCCATGTGCTGCTAAAATCGGACCTCTTTCAGGAACACAGCAGGAACACCATGGAACACCTTACTTCTGGCCACCCCGCCACCAACATGGCAGGGGTCTGTGTGACTTGCACGCAACGTTTCCCCTACATACGTTGAAAGCGTTCACTTTCTGGGACGAGCTGGCCACGGAGCCGCGATCGGGGGTTGTTCGAAGCACCCCGCATAAAGGCAGGCTTTGAAGAGGACATGCAAGAAAGAAAGATCATGTTCTTTTGGGGGGTGTTATATTTTTAACCCTGGTAGGTGCAAGAAGGCGCAAGGGTGAGCGCAAGGTTTGTACACATAGATAGACAAGTAGCACTTCTACCAGTAGTGTGAGTACTACTGTTAGTGCTACAGGAATGACTATTACCACCACTAGCGCAACAACAACAACAACAACAACTACTACTACTACTACTACTACTACTACTACTACTAGTAGCTTGTCCCTCCCGGAAAAAGGCCAGGTTTCGGGCTTTAGTAGCCCGAAGCTTTCTTTCGAGGTCGAACACCTATGAAAACCTCCCCGGCGCTTTTTTCCCCACCGGAAAAACAACTGGACTGGTTGATTTGTCCTACGGACTTGCTAGATCCAATCTTTCCACCCCCTTGTCCCTTTCGTTCCCTTTTGTTTCCTTTTGTTGTTCCTGGTCTTCTCTTTGCTGCGTTCCGTGGCCTTTCCTCTTATTCTTCCTTTCCTGCCTCGAGCGCGCTTCCACTAAAATCATTTATTGTGAAAACATAAAAGTACCACAACACCGCATAGGCACAAGGAGGCGCAAGGGCGAGCGCAAGGGCCTTTCAAGATAAGACCCTGCAACCAAGGTTCGGAACACCCCCCAGATACAGTATACAGTATTTTCACTTCAATCGCATCAAGACGTGTCCAAGCGAGCGGTATAGCCACCCCATGCCACCCCCAAAGCGGCCAATTCATTTGTGAATTACTGTCCCTGTTGGGGTCCAGCCGGGGTCCAGCCGGTTTGCTCAAGCTCGACCCTCAGATCTGGAGCCAGCAACTGGGCGATGAGCGCGGCCGAGCAGAAAGCCGTGCCCGCGTGGCGGCCATGACCGAACGTGCCGGGAAGCCAGTGTTGGAGGGTCCGGGAGCCCGGAGTTGAAGGGCCCAGGGCGGCGAAGGTTTCGAAGGAACATACCGTGCCAGGTGGTCTTTTCTGTGGCGTGTCCGTACATGAACGGATGTGGACGAAGGATCTCATGAACTCGCTGCGCATAACACTTACATATCCTGATTAAACTGCGCGCATGTGGTGTTTTATTTTTCACATGTTTGACATTCTTTGATCGTTCCATGATACTGACCTGGTGCCAGTTCTCACTTGCAGGTTACAAGCCGCCAGATTTGCCTGCAGTCATCCAAGTGGACAACTTCTACATTTCGAAGGCAGGCCATCGTGGCCATAGAATGCTAACTTTGCCACCGGGGCAGATCCTGCACCTGTTTTTGAGTTGCCCTCCTTCGAGAGCATCATAACCTCGACGCGAAGATCTTGAAGACAGCACTTCAAAAAGAATCACCTGGAACACTCTGCAGCTTTTTCATCATATCACGCTTTGGTTCAATGAAATTGACAGGAGGCATTTGTGTTGCACCCATTCATTCACTTTGCCCTTTAAGTCGTCACCCCCCAGGAGAGAAATGGCCTGACACTTGCATACACTTGCTATATAATACACGTCGCTAAACTCTGTTTCATGCATGATTGGTGGGAGGAGGAGGGGTTTTGACTCCAAGGTGCAACTGAACACACCATCGTAAGGTACCATCACCTACCAAAATGGTAAAAGGGTGCAACAAAAATGATCTCAACACAGATTGGTGCTGTTGGAGGGCACATGCTCTTTTGAATAGGTGCTAGGGTTGACATGACTAGTGTTCCCTCATAATGACTGGTTAGTGGTTTCAACTACCTGGAACGAATTCTCCCTATCGCCTATAGCTGTTTCCTTTTTTCTCTTCGGTGTTTCGCTCGTTTTGCACCACCAGCCAGATGAAGTGGCTCTCGTCCACATCAGGTGGAGCTGACCGTCTGGTGTGCCTTGAAGCTTCGCACGGTGCGCTTCCTGCCCCAGTGGATCCGCACGGTGACTGGGTCGGCACGGTGCCGAGGAACACTCGGGTCTCCCTGCACCTCCGGGAGGCACGCGCACGACATCGCAGGGGGCTTTTATAGGTGATACAGATGAGACACATGAGAACACATTGACGCACTCAGGGTAGGTAGGGTCGATCGCTTACGGTCGTATTCCATTACGAATCGGTGGATCCATCGATGGTCGATCGAAGATCGAACATTGGTCGATCTGATCTCCAAGGTTTCTAGAGGTGAGTCCAGATGGGCTTGGAATGACCAAGGATTCCCCAACGCACTTCGTGTAACTATGAGCCACTTCTTTTGGACATGGTTGCGACATGTTAAGAACAAGCGGGTCTTCAGTAGACAAGATCCTAGCCAATGATGGGGTGCTCCTAGCCAGAACGCAAGAGCAATAGAATTATTGCCTTCGCAAGCATGATGCAATGAGAAGCTCAGGCCATTGGGATGCTGTCATTCTCTGGACATTTGACCTTGGATGGTGTCGAGCTCAAGCTGCCAGCGGCTCGACGGCCACCCTCCAACTGTTTTTTGCCGTTGAAGGTGTGACGATGACACATAAAGATGGCCCCAACATCCTGCCCACAGAAGCTTTGCTGGAGTTCGTGCAACTTAGTCATTTAGTGTTCATGTTTCTCAGGTAGCGTGTCTGACCTCTTCTCCACGGCTTTCTTGTTGGTGAAAGACTGGAAAACGCCCCATGGTCGGAGCTCAATGCGCCGATGGTTACATGCATAGAATCATGCTCCATTCCGAGGAGCGACGTTTGGAGCGCCACCGCGGATCCCTACTGGACTTCCTTCGAAACCTCGGAAGTATGTGCGCCACCTGGAGTGGACGGTGAGGACTGGTAGACAGCTTGGTGACCCGGTGACCCCTTTCTAGGAGGTGCTGTTTTAAGCTGACTCGAATGGTGAAAGAACTGCATGACGACGGTGGAGCTCACTTGAGGAAAAGTATGCAACAAGTCAAGTGTCATGTCCAAGCATTCATTCAGCTGTAGGCTATTGTCAAGTCGTTGAAGTCCTAAGACCTTTTCTCCTTCCACGGCGCACGGAAAGGGCATGAAAGGATGAAAGGGCTGAGGGTGACCTCCTGCAATCATGAAACCTTCACTGGTGTTCAGAAGGGTCCCTCCACGCTGACCATGTATGTTTTTTCCAAGAAGCTGCATGCTTTGGGCACGAGGACGCGGCGCTTCAAGGACACCATCCACTCGTGGGTTCGCTCGATCCCCCCCCAACGACACGGCTTCGCAGCACGGTTCGTCCCGCTGAGCCGCACGGCTTCGATCCCGGCGTCCCGCGCCGGTGCGCGCGCCGAACGACCAAACGGCCGACCACGGCAGGTATGCGGTGAACCTCCTGAGCCATGCAGCTGGGCTGTTGGGCAAAAGCTCCGCACCTGGGACCGAGACCGTTTCTTCGTTCAGCCGAGCGTTTCTTCGGCCACGGTGGAGCCGTTGTTCAACGGTGGAGCAGTTCTTGAACGGGGCAGGATGGGCGGCAGGCATCCATGAAAAGTCAAAGTGCTTCCTTAAAGGTCTTAAAGAGCCTTAAAGTGACCAACAGTAAGTGCAAGATAATCAGATAATCAGATATTACAAGACTTTGCTGACTTGCTAATTAGTGCATCAGTATCTCAAGCAATGTGTGGGACGGGTTGGAGAGGAAAAGGCTGCCATTTACACTTAAAAACCCCCATGCTTTGGCCGCTTTGCCACGGGCCTTTTCGGACTGAGATGGACGTGGGTTTCTTCGATCCATCCGGCCACCGGCCACCTTCCAGCCCGGTGTGGACGTGGCTCACCTCAGGTGCTGAATTTACCCCGGGTTCCATGGCGCATCACCATGACGACCGTGAGCTACTTCTCCGACTCGGTGGGACTGATCTCCGGGGAGGCGCTCGGCGCAGAAAAGCGGCTCAGGACGAGCGTGCTGGAGAGGAATGGTGGGAGTGATCCGATCAGAAGTGGAAGGTTCTGGAAGAATCTGCCAAAATGTGTTTGGGGGATGTTGACATTGGCATTGGGGTGATAGGTGATGATTGGTGGTGTTTGGGGAGTGTCCTTGATGGCTGTTCAGAAGACATGTTCGAAGATTGCCTTCTTTGACTGTGCAGGCATCATCGCTGCTGAACGCCATGGCGTTTGACGAGGACTACGTAGCGCGCCAGAGGCAAATCCGCAATGCCAAGCAGATTGAGAAGCTTGCCTTACACCGAACATCTATGAACATCTAACCCGGCTTTGTTGGTGGCTAGTGGTCGGGGAGGGACTAGCCGCCAGCCTCACCTCCAATTACACCGAACCGAAAGACACCGGGATAGCTGGGATTGCTCGAAGTAGAGTCCACGCGATTGGTGCGACCTGCCTTGCGACCAAGGAACATCCATGATGGATTGGTTGAGGCACGCGATCATGTTCCAGGGAATGCTCCAAAATGGTTTCATGGGGCCATGACACTGCTGTTGGAATCCAATCAGGGCTCATTTTTTACTTGTCCACATGAGTGGCCACAGAGACTGTATACGTTCGCGGTGTATGTATATATATATATATTATATAACCTCATGTTCGCCAGAATCACAAGCACCTACTGCTGATCATCAGTATCATATAACATCACATCATATCACATCATTCTCTACAGTCTGAAATCCCTCGGGCCCACAGCCGGGCCTGACGGCTGAAGTCGACTCGCCTGCCAGGCTGGCAAGTCCTTCGTCGATGGCCTGGAAGGTTTGACGGACGTCTTCACGCAGCCGTTTGAGGGGGCCAAGCAAGATGGCCTGGGAGGCCGGACTCCCTGGGACCTCCCTCCACAAGAATGGTTCAAAACTCACCTCAAGGAGGTGAGACGATCTGGAGGGAACTAGTTCGCTTTTGTTCCCACAGAGTTTCACACGTGAACTAATCAAAACGGTCATTATTGTACATTGATGTACATTGTATGTTAGCGCCGCGGCTTGAACTACGATAGGGACTGACTATGAATCATTTCTCAACATGTCCTGAAGTTCTGAAGAACTCATTTTTTTGGGGGAGTCCTTTTGCTACCTCCTTTTGCTACCACCGTGGAAGCAAGTTGGGACCATATGGACCCCTAGCGAGTTGTTTGCCCATGTTTGGAATGTTTGGACCATGTTTTCCAAGCACAGTACCTTTGCCAAGAGCAATCCTTGAACCCCCTGACGCTTTATATTATAAGCACCTGCCGAAGAGATTCTTTTTTCCTCCTCCTTTTGGTGCACAAAAAGGACTGGAAGACCCCATGTTCAACTGGTCTTCATGTGTTACAACCACACCGGTCGAACGCTTCCAGGTTCCATGCCTCGCGTCGCCTCGCGTCCTCAGGCTTTGTCCGGGGTGTGGGCCGCGGCTTCGCGGGCTCAGTGTTGAAGCCAGTGTCCAAGCTGGGGGAGGCCATCAGCGATGTGGGCTCAGGCGCGCTAACGACGCGCTGGGGGGAGTTTAGGGCAACAAACGTCCTAAACTCCGAAACTTCTTATTCCGTAACTATTTTGTTATTCTTCCGCAACGTCGAATTCGGCAACTATTATAGTCTTCAGATGTCTTCAGTATAAATTATTTTGCATTCTTCAGTAACTTCAGTGAGTATTTAGCATTCTTCAGAAACTATCTCGCGATCTTCAAAGACACTGGCAGGTTTGATAATTCCACTTCGGAGTCGGCTTGTACTACATTTGCTTCGAGAAAACCAGCATCATTTTGCACACCGTCAGTGTCTCCAAGCTTTGCTTGGCAAACGCATGCAAACGCTATAGAAAAAACACACTGCATAGTACTGCATATCTACTATTATATATATAATAGGTATATATATATATATAGAAGATGCGATGCCTACGGCATGTTCAGTTTGCCACCTCAAGGACCGGGGTCGTTTCGCCGTGTCGGAGGCATCGCCAGCTCCGTGAGCCCCGATGGGGGTGCCACCAAGCGACGACGGAGGCGCGACGGGGTGCCGGGGCGCCGGGGCGCCCCGCGACTGGTGGAGGTCCAAAAGGCAGGTTTGAAAAGAAGCAGAACCATCCGTCAACAAGGCAGGTCTGAAAAGGGCTCGTTCAGAGTGAGCATCATGATGCGAACTTGGTTCCGAAGAGTGTTCCAAAGCTATTTTGGAGGGTTCTCCTCCCTGCCCTGGACTTCCGACTGTCATACCTATTATAGATCATCATAGATCTGCAGTCCAGCAACAGATCCAGCCTCCGCAAGCGGAGAAACGGGATGGGCCCGCGATTCTTTTTTCCGAAACGGGCTCGATGGGAGGCGGTGTCGTGTACGCCCTCCTCGGCTGCTCTTTGGAGAGTTGGGAGTTGTGAGGCCTTGGTCGAATCTGGAGGTGCTGGGCTCATTGCTGCGACGTTGCTGTGCGAAACTGTTTCGTTAGGCCTCCAAACGGTTCGAAACCACCGCAGCTGGTTGGGAAGACGTCCGTAGAGGCAAACATATATGCTGACAGCCGCTGCGCGCCCTCAGGCTGAATTGAAGCGTGTCCTGGGAGAGGCTGGTGTCCATGGCCTGGAAGAGGCCAGAAACGTGCTAGCAACGACGGTCAGACTGAACATGGTAGCTATTCCTCGGGTTTGTCCTATATATTACCTGTAACAGTCAGTAAACAATCATTTTTTGGACAAGGCCTTTACTAACCATCATCATCCACTGTTACAGGTAATAGGATAGACCTTTTCCTTCATTGGCCTTGGTGCTCAGTCTTTGGGCAGCAAGACCATCGAGACTGGTACTCCCGAGCATATCATCTGAGTATGCCCGGGTCATTTTGCCATTTTTGTTTGGTTCAGGTCTTAACATTGAAGGAGCAAGGGTACAAGAAGATCTTGCTCTGACACTTGGCGGCGGTTGATGTGTAAGACTCTAAGACCCACGGTGTTGTTTCTTTGGGCTTTGAGCCGCTATTGGCTTGAACATGGAACTGTCCATCACAAGGGTTGGCTGCCGAAATTGATGTGGCTAGCATGAGTTGGCGACAAAGAGTTTCAGTGGCAACGCTGGTCTCGAAGGTGTACAGAGCCACAGACTCAGGGAGATCAACGCATTTGTTTTGTTTTGTTGTCATGCCTTTTGTCACTGCGAAATCCTCTTTGTTGACTAAATTCTAGGTCCTTCTTGAGGACCTGCTGCCGGGCCCTCCAGATTTCTTTCCCTGTGTCACTCCTTTCTTCCAACCTCCCACAACTCGAGAGTTCCTTTTGGGCAGATCTCGTTGGCCGTCGGTCGGCCTCAGGCCTTTATCCTCAGAGGCTCTTACTGGTGGAGCTGAAGCTTCTTGGCTCAGGGCTGGCAGAGGGATGCTGTGGCCAGGAACAGGGCTGGCGAAGGGGATGAAGTTGTGCAACGATAGCTGATTCGGATGTTGAACGTGACATTCTTGTAGCCTGTGACATTTCTTAGTTCTGAGGACGGCGATGATGATCCGTATAGACAACCTGTCCGACGCTTTTGGCGACTAGTGCTGCTGTTTGTATATATATATATATAATACTATATAATTATATAATCATGTTCGTCTCTGTTGGCCTGGTCGGCATTCTGTTTGTTCGACCTGGCGGTACTCCTTGTCACCATCATCGCCCGGTCACTGGTGATTACAGTGATTACAGGATCGGTCGGCCGCCACCGTGTGCAGGTTGGAGGACGAGATGAAATCAGAGGCGCTCAGCCAGGCGTGGGACAAAGAGGATGGTGGGGTAAGCACAAGACAGTGGTCTTGGTCTTTCTGGGTCTTTACATCAACATTAAATGTCACCAATGTGTCACCCAGTTGTTCTCATGCTGCCATATGTATTTGCCACCAGGTCTGTCGAGGCGTTGTTGATGCTCAACGCCTTGTGTGCGTTTGACTCCATAAGACGCCGGCACACACATCCTTGGCCGATAGATAGCAGCACAATGACCAATGTGGCACGAGAACTTCTTCTGAAATTAACGGATGGAGAGAGCTATCCCTCCACACAGCAACAGCCCAAAAGGGTCAAAGAGCGTAGGCCGAACTTCCAGGCTGCAGGTGCCACAGGCGCTGCAGCCAGCAACGCCCAGCTAGACTCTGCCACCTCTGCGGGGCACTTGGAAGAGGGCTATGACTTCTTCACTGCCGTGGATGCTGCTTGCTCCAATCAGAACAGTGGTTACCAGTGTTGCCTCACTGTTTTATGTCCCAAGCTCCAAGATGCTCACAGTGTAGATTTGATATCCATGTTTCAAGTTTCTTTCAATATTTATGTTGTCTCTCTTTCTAAATGGTCCCTGCCCGTCAGTCCAATTTAGATGTTGATCTAAATCAGTTTATGTGACAACTCTTTTGGCTTCATTGCGGTTTGTGAAGATTGTTCCGTTCGGAGGCACCAGGAAAAGGCGCCTCGTGCATGACTCAGGAGACGGCCGTGAGGCTCTTCTCGCAGATGCTGAAGCTTCTCGTCCACACTTCCTACAGATGTCCACCCTGACGGAACCTGACGGATCCTGATGGAGTTGGGCAGGACTTTGGAACCGATGTATCCTGTACACCTTTGCTTGTTGTTTTGTTGGCCAGTCTCACCAACCATTGATCATTTCCGACATCGGGCGAAAGTACTCCTAGTTGAAGGCAAGAGTAGGTCACCAAGCATGCGTTTGGCAGAATCTCGATGCCTGTGGTTTTTCTGCCGAAAGTCCTCCTCCACTGAGGCCTCTGAACACAGCAGTCTCCCACTGGGATGGCATTTCGCGCCTCGGTTTGCTTCAAGCCTTGCCGTTTTTCGGTGGAATCGGGTGGAATTGGCCCGGTCTGCCACTTTGCTGGTAGTCAGGAAAGCGAATGTAGCGACCCAAATGTTGCCACTGCCCCTTGGAAGCGCTGCCCTTTGGACCAAGTACGGCCACCAGTTTGGAAGGAACACCTCCTACTTCTTCTATATGCAATGATTGACCGAACGTTTGGTTTGAGTATCCTGGTGACATCTATAGGTTGGAGTTGGAGGCACGGGTTTGGACGTATACACACCGTTTAGACACGAGGCAAACTTTGCTGAAACAAAAATGATCAAAAAGGGTTAAGCATGTTTGACTGGCAAGAAGCACATAGCGGTACCAGTTTCCAATACTCTTGGGCCGGGGAATTCTCAAAATAGGACTGCAAAAACACCAGCCTGACTCAAGAACTTCCCCCCCGGCCCTTCGACGATCTTTTCGGGCGACATACTGGTGCTTGGATGTGCTTGGATGTGCTTGACACATCATGCTTTGTATCCTTTGGACATGATCCATAATCCAACTCCAACTAACTGGCCAACCAAGCAGAAACATCACCGTTCCAAGTTCTGAGGAACTTTGTGGCGGGAAGCTCCGACCATGACCAAGAGGTCTTGAAGCGTGCAGTGAAGACGATGGTGAAGTTCTCCGAGGTCCTCGAAGCTTGGCAAAGGGGGTGTTGAGAGGTGGCGCAGGTCATGTTGGGGAAGCCCCGGCCCGCTTTCGCTTGGAGGATGGTCGAAGGTAATTAGTTTGCATCCATGCCGGCAAGCCGACGCACACGGACACAAGGAAATTGTCATAAATTAGATGCTGCAGGCCTCCGCGGCGCGATTTGCGCGCATGTCAATCTGAGACCTCAGCTGGACCGAAGCAAGCGCGGACCGCATCGACGGCAAGCCCTTTGAGGCTGAAAACCGAATAGATCGATGTTTGATGATGTTTGTCATGCATCCTCATCCGAGGACATTGAGGATTCTCAGTCCTCCAGCAGTGATATGCACGTGAAGTTGAAGCTGGGTGGAGGCTGGCCCTCTTACGCTTCAAGACCTGTCCTTTCAAGCAAGACCTGTCCAAGCAAGCACATCCAAAGTTCAGAGAAGTTCACACCCTTGGCTGCCGTCACTTCCACCCCTTCAAAAAGCTCTGTTGCATGACCTTTTTCTGAGGCAAGAAATTGGTCCTGCCAATGGGCCACGTGCCCCCGGGCGCGGTGCATGCCTTGGTGAAAGGCCTGCATTCGGCGAGCCAACGAGGCGTGAAGGGCCGATGCGGCGGACGGCGCGAGTTGGGGTCACTCAAAACCTGCGAGAGGTCCATTCATGGTGTATGGATGTGTATGGAAGGGTGGAGGCTTGAGTCCAAAAAAAAGCAAACAGAGAACTCTGAACGAGATGCCGTGCCAAGTTGTGTACTTGTGGCTATAGGATATAGGTATGTTGGGATATACGGCCACAACGGCCTCCCTCCCCTCAACAACGGCACTTCCATACCTTCTCACCTTCTCCAGGCCCGAGCTGCGGAGTCGCCAACTGGGATGACCTTCGGGTGGCTCTGCAGGATGCCTCAGGAGCTCCGCAGCCGATCTCCCACCTCTCAGGAGCCCCGCGGAGGCTGCAAAACGGCCGGCTGAGAGAGTGAAGCGCGGCGGAGGTGGATTCACCCTCCGAACTTGGTGGAAAGGAGCAACTCGATACAGATAATATGTACAACATAATACAACATAATTAGACATCTACAATATATGTTAGACAGTTGATGAATCAAACCTCCCATATGACCCCAGTTGTGCTGATCTTCAAGCCATTCTGCTACGATGGAAAGCCCTTCTGTATCAACTGCCAACGCCTTGTCTACATCGAACGCCTTGTTATCGTTTGATCCGAAGATGTTTGTCGCCAGGAGGCGCCGGGCGACGGATCTTGGAGGTCTTCGAAGTGGAGACCTTCCATGTGGCCACTGAGCTGATAAGCTCTGCAGGCGCCGAGGCGCCTGAGGTGGTTGCTCTGAATATACAGCCCACAGCCGCTCCTGAAAACACAGACTTGACACTTCATTGCACGTGCCCCAATAAACATTGGAAGAATGCCGGGAAATTAGAATAGGAATCCGAGCTGCAAAGAAGCCCCCTTCGCAAGCGACAAGCGACCGCGGGGTCGCTTGCAAAGGAAGGCCTTCAGCATTTCAACACCTGACACGTGGCGGACGCCTAGGTCTCCAAGACGTGGCGGACGCCCAACTGGGGATCGATGATCGAGACCGAAACCAGTTGGAGGCTGGATTCGGAGACCGTGTCTACCTGTATGTCATTGGGTTAGTTGGAGACGTGACGGCCATTTCGCTATGTCATTGGGTGAGTTGGCTCCTTTGGTCATCGAGAATTCGACCAAACACCTGGGACTTCCGAAGGGCGGTGTTCCTTGGGGCTGCCGAATCGACCGGTCGAATCGACCGGTGTTGGACACGCTTTCGGCGACATCTGATTCGCCATCGTCTCCGCAGGTGGCTTGATTCAAGTGGCTGTCGACATCCTCACCTTATTCCTGGACTGGACAAGGTGGTCATTGTCGAGAGGACATGGGCGGGACAAGTCGCTTGCTTGGCTTGCCCAGTTGAGCCAGCTTGTGCTGTGAGAGGGGGGGAAAGCTTCTCACGCCATTGAAGGATGTACAGTATGTATGAACATGAACAGCATTTGACACTATTTTGCGGGAATATGAAAGGATTTATATAATATATCTATAACATGATTGAGCAATCATAATAGAATGATTAGAATGACAGGTCTTTAAAGAAATCAGAACGGAAAGAAGGCGAGAAGGAGAAAACAGAAGAAAACAGACGCAGAATTCTGGATTGGAATTCGGTCAGCCATACGGTCAGCCATAGGGTCAGCCATGCTCGGTTTCTGCGAACAAAAACACGCAAAATGATTGGAGACCATCTTACCGTATGCTGCTGCAGAGGTCCCGAGACACCGACGACACCGAGACACCTGCCGTCGAAGCGCTCGAACCGCCTGTGCGCGTTGACAGAGGAGAGTGCCACCAGTGGAGCTTGACAAGAGTCTCTACCAGCCGTACTTGGCATCAGCTTATGTTGTGGTACACTCTCTTCCATGAGGGGACATTTCCACTTCGATGTTAGTTCCAGGGAGTGTACTTTCCCGTGGCGGTGTTCCAGCGGTGTTCCCACGGGATGGCAGATGGCTGAAGGGAACATGGGGTCATACATGGTTACACTACAGACGAAGTGATGCTGATCTCTTGACCCCGCTGTGTACACGGCAAGTTGACTGTTGTAACATCAATAATCGGTTCAAAGACTTGGAGCGATCATTGTCGTTGCATTGCTTTGCTTTGAGACACCTGAGGTACTCGCCATGGGAAGTGGACAGAAACCAAGGCCCTGCGACGGACCTGCGCTTCTGCCCGTTGGCGGTTCGCCAGGGGAACGAAGACTGTCATACCGCTACGGATTGGGATGTTGCCTGGGGTCAAGAATGCCAATGGCTTAGCTGCGCTTGGCGTAGGCACCTCAATCTATTGGAACATGGGCGTCTCTGACAGGCATGAGTCCATGCCAGTGGGACAGTGATATTCGATGCGCCTCGGATGTCGGGAGATGTTCAGGCGATGATGACGGCTGGAGTTATGGCATTGCCTGGAACACCTCGACCTGGGTCACTACACCTGGGCCTTTCGATCTCTTTCGCCGCAGGCGCCACTGCCCACAAACATCACTAGTGTATAACGTTTTTGAGGTTCCAAGTCCATTTGCCCCTGAAGTTGGCAAGTCATCACAACATAGAGCCACAACCATGCGGGAACATTCATAATACATACTTTAGTATAACATATATAGTTTATCGTGGTCATACTGTATGTGAACACACACACATATATATATATATATGTACATATATCATATAGTGTTCATATGTTTGCTTTCGGCAACTAGTGTCTGCCGTAGTTTTTGCTCGCCCTTTCTTTGCCGCTGCTATAGTGCAGGCGCTGGACTCGGACGTACACTTAGGAGGCCGGAGGATTGAGGATTGAGATGAAGATCTTCGAGGGCATGGAGGTAGAACTGGCCTTGCCAGTCACATCAACGCTCCTCCAGCCATGAACCGAGGGCCGCCTCAACTCCAGATGTTCATATATTGTCCGACTTGTGGGTTCATGGCTGGGCCACGAAGGCTGTGAGCCCAATTGTTACCCAATTGTTTATGTTCATCGTTCGCTGTGAACGCTTTGCATCCGAATGGAGCAACTCCACGCAGCGTCCCGAGCGAGTGTGATGAACCAGTCGTTTGCGCGAGCTTGCTTGTCAGGGTGCCCTATCAAATGCTCCTCCGATTGTTTGCAGTTACTCAGTCAGTGGGGTGGAACCAACGGATAGGATTGTTGTTTATAATATGCATGCATGGCAACGATCCAAGGAGGTACCATATATAGTTATTTGGAGTGAGCGGTGCGAGAACAAAAACCCTTTGGAATGTCACAACTATCAAAATGAGCTTGGCCCGGTTGAAAGAGTTCTGTGTTGCGGTTTTCGGCGTTTTGGCAACCATAATGTTTGATCGAATGCTGCAGTGACCGCAGTTACCTCAAATGAAGGAAACAGCCGCAGGGTGAACATGTTTTTTGCACCGAAGGCTTCAAACTCGTGTCCAGTTGATTGCTTTTGAAAGATATCTTGAAACGTGTTCATCAGATTTTGGAGACCAGCGTGACCCAGTGTGACCTACCATGCCCCCGCAAAGAAGCGGAGTTTGCTGGTACACCATTCGATTCTGTCCCACCGATGTCCCGCTCGCTCGAGTCGTGAGCAGTGTGGCTCTATGAGGCCCGAGAGATCGTCAGTGCCTTGGGAGCGCGACCTGCATGGAGGGGAGGTGCATGATGGCAGCCACGGATCTCGTCAAATCGAGCTGGATGATCAAATCATGATCCAACATCCAGATGAATCTAATCATTATCGAGTTCACAACATGATAGTCAACACTAGCTTCAAACACGAAGGTTGATATTCTGTTAGGTGAGAATTGCAGGATATGGATATGATATGATATGATAAGATCGAAGCACGCTTCTCTTTGGCCGAGCAGCCTGAGGGTCCATGAGGCTTGAAAACTGAACCCGAGGAGAGAGGAGTTTGCCGCTGCTGAAGTCCCGAACGCTGGCATAGAGCAAAGCCCCAGGATTATGTTGCACGCAGAACTCCTCACCGCAAAAAGTGCTGCCAGAGTGACAGCAGAGGATCTCCCATCTCGCTTTGCAGTCCAACCAGTGCAACACAACCCTGCTGAGAACATGCGATTACAGTAACTTACTTTTTCCTAGTCCCCACTGGGTGGGAGGAGAGAAGGCACTGTCACCGGACACTCAGATCATGCTGTCAGCAAGATCATCATCCCCTGTTTCCTCAAAGTATTCTGCGAAGTTCGCCATGGGCGGCCTAGAGCAGCCTTTGTTGGCAGGTGATGTGGCAGGCTCAGGCTTGGCTGTTGGCTTGCGCTACCCCTTCAAATGGAGATGCCCACTCAAACTGATGGTGGATATTCCAGCCTAACACCCTAAGCTTCCAGAACTTGGCCAGTTGCATCAGTGATCATCAGTGTATATATAGAAAGAACGAGCGAGCCTGCTAGCATTGTGACATATTGTGACATATAGTGATATATTATATAGTCTGATATCGTCACCCAGGTAGTCACCCCCAGTCTGACCGTTCCAGACTGGACAGTGGGTTCCAGCCCCGCTGCTTCGCCGTTTGACCTGGCTAGTCTGATCTTATGGACCCTGACCTGGTCAGATCTCGCCAGGACGTGCGCGTCGTATAGCTTCTGGGCGCTTGGATGCCAGGTCCTGAACAGCTTCCCACAGTGTCGAGGATACCGAAAGGCCATGAAAGTGGCTTCAAAGTCGGTGGCTTCAAACGCCTCATTTGGGTATCCAAAGGGTGGTGGGCTCAACGATGTTCATCAGGTTTCTGGATGTTTCTCGCATTTTTTCCATTCAAAAGAATGACAAGAAGAGGACAACAGGAGGAACCACGCCCGGACACAGCATTGACCGGCGCGGCCAGAGACGTTGGAGACATGCCTTTCCATGCTCTGAGGCGTGTCCTCAGCGTGGGGTCTCAGATGTGGAGACGCGACGAGGAACTGCTATCCCTGGCAGCCCTGAATTGGACTCGACGAAGCCACCGTTTTTGTTCGTTTTTTCCAAGGTTCCATTCTAACGACTGCTCTGAGCATCAGCTCTACTAAAGAGCACTGTGTCCAATGTTATGGAGTTTGCACTTTCGAGCCGCTGCTGGGCCACATGAGTTCCAGGATGTTCCAGGCTGTTGCAAGCAACCTGAATTGGATATCAACTCATTTTCTTATTAGCGCATACACATATATATATATATTTGCATGATGGAGCCCACGAACCCGAATGCAAACACGTTCGAAAAGCTACATACGTCCAAATGACACTCTTGTAGGACACTCTTGTGGGACACTCTTGTGGGACACTCTTGTAGGACACTCTTGTAGGAAACTCTTGTGGGACACTCTTGTAGGACACTCTTGTGGGACACTCTTATAGGACACTCTTGTAGGACACTCTTGTGGTACACTCTTGTAGGACACTCTTGTGTGGGACGCTCTTGTGAGACACTCTTGTAGGACACTCTTGTGGGTCACTTGCAGGACACTCTTGTGGGACACTCTTGTAGGAAACTCTTGTGGAACACTCTTACAGGACACTCTTGTGGGACACTCATATAGGACACTCTTGTGGGACACTCATATAGGACACTCTTGTGGGGGACATTCTTGTGGGACACTCTTGTGAGACACTCTTGTAGGACACTCTTGTGGGTCACTTGCAGGACACTCTTGTGGGACACTCTTGCGGGACACTCGTGTAGGACACTCTTGTAGGACACTCTTGTGGGACACTCTTGTAGGACACTCTTGTGGGACACTCTTGTAGGACACACTTGTGGGACACTCATATAGTACACTCTTGTGGGGGACGCTCTTGTGAGACACTCTTGTAGGATGTGGGACACTCATACGGGACACTTGTAGGACAGTCTTGCGGGACACTCTGTCTGGGACACTCTTATAGGGCACTCTTGTGGGACACTCTTTTGGGACACTCTTGTAGGACACTCTTGTTGGACACTCTTGTAGGATACTCTTGTGGGTCACTCTTGTAGGAAGCTCTTGCGGGGCACTCTTTTGGGACACTCTTGATACCACAAATCATCACGCTCACCAGCGACACGCCGCGTTTACGCCAGCGTGTTTCGCGCTCCCCAGTGCCGCGCAGCCACGCAAACGCACTCCCCACCAAGACCGCGCAAATCCCAATGGCACTGCGACATCACGAACGTCTTGTCGCCACACGGTCTGCCCGTAGTCACTACATGTACAAGCTCACCAGCGACACGCCGCGTTTACGCCAGCCTGTTTCGCGCTCCCCAGTGGCGCCACGCAAGCGCACTCTCCACCAAGACCGCGCAAATCCCAATGGCATTGCGACATCACGAACGTTGTGTCGCCACACGGTCTGCCCACACACTATAGAAGCAGTCATGCGAGCGTTTCGTACGAGACGTCCTCCAAAAGTCACACGTCAAGTCTCCAAAACGAGCGTTTCGTACGAGACTTCCTCCAAAAGTCACACGTCATGGCTCCAAAACGAGCGTTTCGTACGAGACTTCCTCAAAAACTCACATGTCAAAGTCTGCAACCCGAGCGTTTCGTACGAGACTTCCTCCCAAAGTCAAGCGGAAACACCATTGGAGCTATTTATCGCGGAGCCTTGTCAAGCAGTTTCGCGATTCCAGTCCCTCCAAACAACACCCGCTCACACACCAATCCCAATGTCACGACCTCACGATTCCCTGCGCCTGCCACGAATCACACATCGCAACCTCACGATTCCCTGCGCCTGCCACGAAAATCGCACTTCCACACCTCAAAACCCGCACAAAGTACTGCGCCTGCCACGAAAAGTGACAATATCATCTCATGTGAGCTTCAACAAAATTTGCACCACACCACACGTTTGGAATGATTTCGGCCCGTTCTGAGCACACTCCCATCCACCAAAATCACAATTTCAGCTGAGACTTGTCACGAAAACAGCGCGCCTGAAACGCAAACCCCAATGGCACGGCCACATCCGACACCCCAAAAACACGTCTCTCCAAACGCTAATCCCAATGGAACTGCGCAGCAAACTGCGGATCTCACAAAACGCTGCGCCTGCGCAGTCAAATCATCCTCTTACATTTCCACGCGATTCCTCGCTATTTCACACGAATCTGACACGTCACGGTTTCATCCGAAACCTACTCCAAAAGCTTCCCCCAATGGCACGGCCATAGAGACATCATACGGACGGTTGCAAACGGTTGCGGACGGTTGCGAACACGAAAACAACGTCGGGCAAACACAGCTCAACCCTCAGACTCCCAAGTTGAACAAGAACCCTTCGCTACGCATTCGGGGAAAAGTCTTTGCATTTAGATCTCTCTTTCCATATCTACATATATATACATATATATGTATACACACACACACCTATATATGTATATATATATGGTATGAACCTCAAGCTGTATGATCTCGTGGCACCTGAACTCCCCCTTCCGCGGCGACGTCGCTGCAGTCGCCGAGGTGTGGCTCTCCGTGGTGCCGGTGCCCCCGGGGCGGTTGCCACTGCCAGGGCCCGAGGAGTCGTTCGACTGGGTGTCGTGCAGGGCGTTCATCCGCAGCTAGCGATGGGGAATTGAAAGGTAGTAGACAGCCACTGACTCAACTTATGACATTGGGGGCTGGAATATGTTTGCCCTTCAAGTCGGGCCTGAGAACTTGGGCAACACACCTTCAAGCCGCGAATCCCGCAAACGCATCGTTTTGGCTCACCTCAGGGACCCAACACGAGGCTCCCAAGATCGCAATAAGTTCCCTAAGACCCCAAGCTCCAAGAGACACCGGCCAGCCTAACTCCTGCACCCGGCTGAGCCCTCGTGTCCTGCCAGAAGATTTGCACCGGCGGCCAGGTAAGCCCTTGGATTTGCGGCCCAATTCCATGCCCTTGGGACGTTTTACACTGAGCTTGCGGAATCTCGGTGTCTTTTTTTTCCTCCGCTCGGCTCATG